AGCTCTTAGAAACAGTATAATCATTGTACCGAGCGCATGTTTACCCATGAAACCACGCCCGGTGCTCGGCACCCGACGGCCGCTGGGGCTCAGTGACCTGAACTCGGCGGCGCTACCCGGAGAACGTAGTGTCCCCTCCCTCACTTGGTGCGCATTGACAGCGATTAACTTTTGTAAGCGGCATTTACAAATGATGCTTACCTATACATCGTCGCTAGTGCGAGTTTGATGTCAGGCATTTTGCAAAATGCCTGGGAAAATATTTCAGGCAGTTTGCAAAATGCCTGGTGGGTCAGGCAGTTTGCAAACTGCCTGGGCATTTTGCAAAATGCCTGGCCGGTCAGGCATTTTGCAAATTGCCTAGGCATTTTGCAAAATGCCCGAGTTTTCACTTTGCCTGTAACATATATAAGTATGTTATATAATTATTATATAAGTGACACCAAACCAGTATTAGTCTACTCACTGTGTTCCTGGAAAGTGGATATGTCATTCAGTGGATCGTTGCGTTGATAACCTTTGTACACCGTGACAGATTACGTCGGCTTAGCTTAGTCGGCCTCTAAGGTCTAGTTTAATCGCCGGGTACCCCTGCAATTATACTGGACACCGACTACGAACGCAGTCCGGCTGCCCCTGAAAACGAAAAAAATCAGCATCATGATCCTACAATTACCTACGCCTTTGGTCTCATGTCGACAGTTACCCCTCCTGGCTCCTCCCTCATGACATGACTGGGACTGTCAGGTTAGGTGCTCCAAGCAGGTGCACGTTAGCAGTTGCTTCTAAACCCTCTCAACGGCACACGTGGTTTGGATCCAGAAAAGGATGCACGTCCACCGCGCCGGTGGCCGGGTTCGGCTAGCCCCTGGATGACATACCCCTATCCACCGCGCCCGAGGGTCACATATGACATAACTCTGACCTTCCTCCCCGCCTCCGCTCCCTCACGGGGCAAGGTCCAAGAAAATGTGCAATATTTCATCATAAAATGTCGGCGAGCCAATAAATTTCAATAACAACCGATGCGTAAGTGGCATCATAAGCGCAAGTACCGTGATTCTGTCGGTAATGGTGAAAGTTCTGTAAGACGAGCCGTATAGAAACAGGGTCTATTACGCAGAACTGCAAGAAATATGAGGAGGAAAGAGATTTGATTATTCTTGCCACTAATTCAACTTTTTTGCGACCAATCAGCATCTGTGTGCAATGGACAGGGGTGTGCGCCGACCACCCTCAGTGGACAGAGGTGTGTGCTGAATCCCTGCCCGTCCCCGCCCGCGGGCGCTGTGCTTGAGGTGTGCGCTGACCGCCCTCGATGGTCAGAGGTGTGCGCTGAGTCGCTGCCCGCCCCGACCTCCGGCGCCGGCCGTCCGTCAGGCGACGGCGACGTGCCGGTCCGCCGCCGGCGACGGTAACGGCCCGCCCGACCGACGCCGATTGAACGTTAACAGGCCGTAAAGGTGCCCCCGCGGCGGCGGTGTAACGCAGAGCGCCGCCAGATATCCGGGTCATGTGCGGGTCACACGGGTCACCCGGGGTCAGAGAGGGGAGTGGACGGCGGCTGCCGGGAGGTGGGTAATTGTGATGGATGACGGTTGCCACGCTGGTAACCACGCTGGTGAATTTGCAGTGTTTTTGTTCATTTGCTGTAAATCCGACAATGCAAGTTACTTTATCGGTACTTGGACCTTAAAGCTTATTTTTGCCTCTTTTGCACTGGAGTGAATTGAAACTTATCAGGTATTGTGCTGGTAAGATAATAAATTAATAACGCGGCAGCTGCCGTCTCCAAGTTCCGTCAGTCGTGCGGTGACTCCGAATGCCATGACGCAGGTTGGCGCTCGGGCAGTGGCGGCGGAATAGGGGGTGCAGGGGGTGCAGCTGCACCCCCATCGAAAAACATGGGGGTGCAAACATATCTTTTTGCACCCCGAAAATCCGTACAAGGGGCCCGTCGCACCATCCAATACATTTCTCCTGAAAACCAGTGATCGGGAAACGAACACTGATGTGGAATCATCCGGGATGTCCAATTATGGTCAGGAACGCCCCATGCTAGTCTTTGGGGCCCCCACACCGGCTAGAAGTGTCCCGAGCCGCGTTTGGTGCTCCACGCGGCATCTGAGGGCCCCACGATAGCCTCAGAGGGCCCTTTTATGACGATCTCTGAGGGCTCCCACTTGAGGGCTTTGTCCCCTGGGGCCCTATAACGGTCACTAAGGGCCCTCATGACGACCGCTGAGGGTCCCACAGAGACTCCAGGGCCCCAAGGAGACTCCAGGGGCCACGCCGGCCTCTGAGGGCCCCTATGACGGCCTCTGAGGGCCCTTACGATGATCTCTGAGGGCTCTCACGACGAACTCTGTCCCCTGGGGCCCTATAACGACCACTAAGGGCCCTCAGGACGACCGCTGAGGGTCCTACAGGACTCCAGGGGCCCCACTGGCCTCTGAGGGCCTCTACGACGGTCTCTGAGGGCCCTTGTGACGGCCCTAGACCCAAATCAAGTCTGACGGCCCATTTGGCTTCAGACGACCCATAAAGACCCTCAATATGGCCAAGGACCCTCATGACGACCTCTGGTGATCCTCTCGAAGGCATCTAAAGGCCCTCACAACAACTTCTGAGAACCTTAGGACGGTCCCTGAGGGGCTGAGGGCCCTGACGACGACCTCTCTGGGCCCTCACGATGGTCTCTAAGACCCAGCGCAAGCTCCAAAGGCCCACACTGCCTGGCGTCTGAGGGCCCCACGACGGCCTCTGAGGGCCTCGACGCAGGCAGGCTCCAGGGGCCATGCTGACCTCTGAGGGCCCTCTTGACGGCTTCTATGCCTAACGAAGGTTTCAAGGGCCAACGCTGGCCTCTGAAGAACCCTACGACGGCCTCGGAGGGTCTCAACTCAACGCAGGCAGGTGCCAGGAGACATGCTGGCTTCTGAGGGCCCCGCAGAGTTCAGATTCAGATGATCCAACGACCTTTGTGGACCTTACGAAATAAATACGAAGGTCTCCGAGAGCTCACGCAGGCTCCTGGAATTCCACACTGATTCTCAGGCCCCATGTCGGCTTGTTGAGGCACTTTATCTGCTCTTGGTGCCCCGTCGCCGACCTCTGAGAGTCTCAATGTCAGAACTTATGGGGCCATGGGCCCTACACCGGCTTTTATGGCCCCTACATCGACTCTTGGGACTCATGACCCATGAAATGTGGGTCTAAGCGGCTTCTAAGAATCCCCATGCTGGTTCTAGTAGCCGCCAGCCGAATATTAGGTTATGGCTCACACGCGAGCTCCTGGGACCCCATGCATACCCCAGGGGTCTACCTGCCTCTAAGACCCCACACATACTTTTGGGGCTCAAACGCTTGCCCCTGAAGGCCCCACTGAGACCCCTTTCCTCTATTCAGTCCTCCATACCAGCTCTTTAGGCTAAACATCGGCTCCTGTGGCCTCCATCCCGGCTTTGGAGGGCCTCCATATACAGGTTTTTTTGGGGTCCGATGCCGGTTTCTGAGAGCCCTCAAAAGACTTTCGAGCCTATACTGCCTTCTGAAACCTTTCAGCAACTTTCAAGGGACTGACCCTGATCGGAGGGCTCATTCAGTCTGGGGAGTCATGTAGTCCTCTGGAGGAGTCTCTATGTGGTCGGTTTCCAAGGGGCTTCTAAACACGGTCTTCTTGGAACGGTCTCGTAGGGCCCTCAATGGTCCACTGCGGATCCAGAAAAAGTGGTTTGAGACGCTGCGGGTGGTGGCTAGACTGAAAGATTAGCCGATAAAAACTAGCTGCATTTGCTTCTTTTTGCTTTCATTATTTGAGACAGGTAGGTACACTGCAATTTCAAACCTTTTACAGAACTTGTGTGTATGGGGAGAGTTTTCCAAACTCTTCGTTTTTCATAAATAGTCAATAAAAATCACTAAAAAAAACTGAAGGGGGCCCAAAACTTCCAGAGGGGCCCCTTGAGAAAACTTTGCACCCCCATCCAAAATTACCTTCCGCCGCCACTGCGCTCGGGCGCACGTATTGCTGCCGTGGCAAACTTGTGGCGGCCGGGTATTGTTCCGGTCACACTGCCGGCCCCAGCGACCAGTGATACACGGGCCGGCGAACTTCGCAGATGTGCCGCCGCCAACTATGAGCCGGCCGAAACGAACGTAAATGTAGGCGCTGATTGGATCAGCTGCGGCCAGTGTTCTGTTTTATTACTGGCGTAAGAGTTGCTCTCCTCTCCCCGGGAGGGCTGTCTCTACCTGGGGCTCTCCGGTCAGTTCGTGCCATATGGCGCTATGGGTGCTACGGGTGCTCAGGATGTGCAAAAGTCGGCTCCAGTGGACCTTTGCTTCTAATCTTTCCCCGGAGAAAATCGGATTTGTTATTTCGCCTTCCTCTGCCCGCACGATCCTAGTCACAAATGTCACAGTCCGGCGGTGCCATATCCCGTATATCACCTGGTCAGAGACCCTGGTCGGAGCCGGTCGGCCGGAGCCGGGTTAGCTCAGTAGCGGCCTTCACGTTCCACGTCGCCAGTATCAAATCCGCCGTGAGGGCCCCTGACCGGTCTGTCGCGGGCTCAACGAACCCCCACGTTGCGAATCATTGTCGTGTTGCAATTGTCTCCGAGGCGTCGAGCCGCCGCTGGTTGTGGCCCGATATCAGACACTGGCTGGGACAGCCGCAGCGATAGCAGGGGAAGTCTGCAGTCGTAGGGGAAAGTCACCGTCGTACAATCAACAGTTGAAGAGGATTGATATTCGCTCGGCGTGTGGTGGAGTGTTATTGACATTGTTGAGAAGGTCGTGATCTCGCTCCTCACGTCACTGGCTAGCCTGTTGTCATGTCTGCGCCTGCCCCTGTGACCTTGACCTGACAAGCCAGTGTTTGAGCGGAGCAGGCCATGTTCCGCTGTCTATTATGACCTTTGCCCTGTCGCTCTGAAGTCTGTCTCGGAAGTCTGCGGTCTGTGTGGTGACACTGACCCGGTGTGTCCCTGTTTCAGGTGATCCGGCCCATACAGGCGGAGGAAGCGGGGCCCGACACGCTCGGTTAGTGCCCGCTGCTGCCCCGCCCGCCCCCTAGTGTACAGCGCGTCTCTGCCCCGGGGGTAACTCGGAGAGGGCCCAACGGCTCCATGTGATCAGCTACCCCGTGAGAAATGTCGAATATATGCCGTCTGATCGTGAACGAAACAGAGCGAAATGCCAATACATGTGTCGCGCCAGTGAGGAAACAGAGCGTTTGCGATATGATAAAGGATGACAAGGGTGTGAAATAGATACGACTGGGCATTGGAGAAGGGAATACTCCAATGGGGAGGGTTGTGCATCTCCGACTGCACAGAAGGGCTGAAAGGGGTCATCAATATGTAAAGTATGCTGGATAGGGAGGCCCACTGGACGGCGTCTTTTCGTTTTTCGTTCAACGAGGTCTACACTTTCGAAGAGCCTGATTCCCCTGTATCGTATCTGATTGGACATGGTCTTTCCGCTATGGACTACAGATTTTGGACCTGTTCAGCATCTGCTGGATATCCGGTGGGGCCGGTGGTATGACCCGATACTACCGGAAGACTCGGCGTCCGGGGCGGGTGTAGCGCGGGGGCCGGCCGTGTGCTGCGCTGCTGTGATGCGCGGTATACTGCAGCATATGGTCAGGCAGGGCCCCGCCGAGACGGCTGACCTGTAAAAGTAAAGGAATCTTGACTCCAACCCATGTCATCCTCGACATCTGACAACACGGAACGTGCGGCTCCCGCGGTGCGCGACGTAGTCGTTGCTTAGTGGTGCGTACTGCGTAGTCCCAATCATGTGGCCGTAGCTTCTTTGATCCATAGTTGTGGAGGTGACCGCGCGCCGCCGCCGCCGTCGCTCCGGCGCACACTGGTCGGAAACGCCCTCACGAGAGGCCACGGGCGATTCCGGAGTTTCGGATTATTTTTTATATAGATCGATTTAAAATTGATCAAATTATTATACTTAGGCCAAAAAACTAATCCGGGTGACCAAAAATAACTGTAATCAGCCCCCGAAGATGGGGTATCCCAGAACTCGGAAACTGACGCGAAGGAAGAGGTTTCTTGAGCCGGATATTCAGAGTCTTATTGCTGATAGACACCAAATTGAAATTCCACATATTATGCATCAAAATGTTCGTTATGAAGTTGCCGACTGGTCAGTGCAAAATTTTTGATATACTTTTTCCCTAACTAAGATGTACTGTAGCTTTTTTATGAAGGCTCTCCTACAGTGATTCTGGAATATAACTGCAAAGTTTAGGTAAGGAAACAACAGGTAGTCCCATCTAGTTCCACTCTGATTTTTTGTGAGATGAAGCAGGATTTAAATTTACACCAGGGCAACATAAAAGCTAACTGCGCATATTTGCGCAAAATTTGCAGGAGCCGCTCTTCCTACCCAACTACCGCCTGCCCCGCCCCAGTTTCGGCACGGCCGCCGCGCCCGGCTTACGCTGACCTGTGTGGCCTGCACGCATCCATGCGTAGTTGACTGGTCATTATAAACAGATGCGCTTGAGTTTATGAATTTTGTGAAAAGCGCGTTTTATGTATGCATTTATGTATGTATTGACATCAAAAGCCTTCCACGTATTGCGTGGCGATTACGGCTTGCATTTAGAGAGCCTTGCTATTGACAACCATCACTCGGCTGAAGAAAGTGGAAATTGAAACCTTCGTGAATATAAGACGCTGCAAATATAGGACACCTGTCACTGACGTCGGGTTATCTTGGGCCGTCTTTTTACATTAGATCACAATTCCGGTATTTAACCCTGGCCGGACCGATTGGTTTTCTATATTGACCGGGGAGGGTTGGTACAACTCCCTCGCCGTTTCGCCTCTAATTGAGCTAGAGCCTCGCGGAAAAAACAAGCTCGTGTGCCGTTATAAGACGCAACAATTAGGTACTACCCGATTTCAACCCTCGCCGGCACAGGCCATTTTGAGTCCTTCGACGGCACAAGGGGGTACGACCGTTGGTACGACCCCCCCCCCCCTCGCGTTTGGCCCCTGATCGAGCTAGAGCTTCGCGGAAAAACGAGCGTGTTGCCCGTCACGAGAGGAAGCCGATGATACCCAATTTTAAGGTCCTAGGTAATCGGGTGACCTTCCAGGTCAGGTCAATGACCCGAAAACCGGGAAAATCGGGACCTGTTAGAAAGTCGTAAAGTGTGGCTGCTATGTGGTTTTCCGGGGTGCTGATCACGAATATCGTGTTAGTTTTGATCAGAGATGATGTCTTTAAGCATTTAGACCAGGTCGGGTCAGGTCAGGTCAGGTCAACCGGTAGGGGTTGTGACGGGTATTCGTAATACGTTTCAACCGCCTCGGACAGCTTCGTAACATGTTACGAAGGCACCAAAACTACTTCGTAAATGTTCAAATGGTTGCTAAATTCGAATTCAGCTCCAAAAACTAGCCTAGAAACATGTTAAACTCGAAAAAGTGAACCGAGGTCACCCGAGGTCACCAAAGGTCAATGACCTGACCTGACCTTCAGGTGACCTTGACACCCACCCTAATGCATGGGAGCAACATCAAATCACATGTTTGAACGTTTGAAACCACGAAAAGCTTGCAAACGCGCGGCTAATGTGAGCCGACATGCGCCGAACCGCGATTTCGGCCAAACATGGTCACAGAAAAGAGGTCACAGGTCAAAGGTCATTGGGGTCAGGGTCATGAAATTTTCAGGGTAGGTGTAAAATTGATCAATGCGAGGGTACTGAAAGTTTCGTCGCGATCGGCCGCTTTTTACGCGAGTTATTCGCGAAAAACCTTAGGAGGGTTGCATCAACCCCCCTGTGCCGGCGAGGGTTAAGGTCTTAGGTCAGGTAAGTGCCACAAGGCACGGGCTCGGTTTTAGGTTAATTACTTTGCCAAAAAAATAGTCGCACTGCCGCGATTTTGACATCATCGTGTTTGTCTAGCTCAGGCGCGTTGAATGCTATACTTGGTGTTCGGGTGAAGTCAGCTTAAGGTGTTAACCTCGGGTCAAGGTCAGTTCGGAGCCCCTCAGGTCACGAAAATGGTTGAAGGAGGTCATATCGCATATCATTCGATTCGGCAGGTCTTCCTGAGTCCAATGGTGGCTTTCCCGACTCTCTAGCTCCATCTGATCAGGAGTTATTGACGAAAAACTTATATGACCTTAGTGACGTCATAAATGTCGTCACGCAAAGTCAACAATGCTTAAGTGAAGCACTGGACCTTGCAAGGAGTGCATGAAACCATTCCCGGTCCCCGAATAGAAGCTCCCAATTTCCCTTGTTGACTTAAAGTGGTGCTAGATCCTGTATTATGCTCAATTATGACGTCATAACTTAACAGATTCACGTCATATATTTAGTGCTTGACATGCAAATGATAGCTTACATATGACAGAGAAGGTATGCAAAGTTTTATGAAGTTTGCTTCACTAGTTGTGGAATAACAAGCAAAAAACTTTTGCGGAAAGGCCGCTGGCCTCTCGCTGGAGCGTTTCCGACCAGTGTGCGGCGCGGTGAGGGGGGGCGGGGGGCTGGTGGCGGCCGGCGCCGAGTCGTCAGTGGCGGAGCGTCGGTGGTCGGTGGATGGTCGCCGACGGTAGCGCGCTGCAGCCGACGTGTGGTGAACACTAGCTCTGTGGTACTCGACGGACGGACGGAGCGAGATACGAACCGGGCGAGACGCCGAGCCCCGCGCCTGTCAGGTGAGTACCCGGCGGACCCCAACGCATGGATAATTCGTCCCGAGAGCGCTGTGGATTTCGTTTTAAATAGGCTGGGCTGTTGATGGCTGCCAATGCCGTGTGCGATGATTGCGTCTACTGGAGTAGTCCCACAAATTGCTACGGGTTTAAAACTGATTCGGTCGCTTTGGTGATCGATCATGGCGCTGCCCATAAGGTAATCTTTCGGAACGTGCTGGGAATGAAGCGATGGTTATGCTCTCGGGTCAGCCAGCGAACCAAGTTGGTTATTAATGCTTGTTATAATATTTGAGAGATATCGCGGATATCGTGTACGATATTGAATATTGATTATTGCATCCTGATCATATGGCACAACCACGTATTGGTATGGGGATCCGATAAACAGGCGCAGGCAGAGATACATATCAATCATACCCTGACCCCATCATATAAAACGGATTGATTGCATTTCTTCTAGATATAAATATCATGGATTTTAAACATAAGATATACAAATTACTTAAATCTGTTCATTAAAAAATATAGAAGAAAGGTTATAGAATGTTGTAGAAAGACATGGTAGGTAGAAAGACTCTTTTTCACTCTTAGGGGGAAAGATACGCTGGAGACTGTGGCAAAATCGTTTTAAATGCATGTTATCATTATTGAGCTCAATACTTACGAGCAGGCCTCATTTCATTGCATTGCTCACTCTGTTGACGGCTACGACTGCAATAACGTCATACTGGTAGATGAATCTTCGTCTCTGTTCTTGTTACAGGCTACAGCGTCAGCGGATATTGTAGGTACATAGGTAGTTACATTTTTTATTTATTATTAGAATTTTTTCTTCATTGTACATACTACATTTTCTACATTTTACACATTCTACATTGTACATTGTTTTTATCTCGCGCCTCTTCTCGCTACACTGCAACGCGTAATGCATCGAGCAGAGCTCGACTTTGCCCAAGCTTTGTCGAACATTTTAGCGTCTGCGGGCTGCGAGCGGCAGGGGCGGATCCAGAAAATCTCCAAGGGAGGGGCCATTAGAAACCAGGAGGCCCCCATAATCCCACCTGTTGGAGGCCCCATCTTCCCACTTGTTGGGCCCCCCCCCCCCCCAAAAAAAAAAACTGCGTCTATTGAGCTTATCTAGCTGTTCAGGCAACATCTCAACATGAATAGCCACTTTATTTTCAGGAGGCCCCCTTTTCAGCTTTTTAACTTTTTATTTTATTTTTGAAAAAAAAAAAATCGGCCAAGGGGGGGGGGCCATGGCCCCCATGGCCCCCCCTTGTATCCGCGCCTGGCGAGCGGTCGGCTGATCTGTCTGATTTAGACGTTCGTGTCCGCCTTACACTTACAACAGTGGCAGATCCATGCAACTGAAAACCGGGCAAACATATCCCACAGACGCTGCCGACGGAATTCTAAGCTGCATGCAATCTATATGGCATGCAACGGCGTAAACCTAATGTGAGCTATCACCAAAGAGAACCAGGCCTGTCCTGTTTTCGCGCAAGTCAAACGCTCCTTTGGCGATTACCTCCTTGCATTGAAAACAAGCGTAAAGGCATGTGCGCCCGCGTTATTATCCACAAATAACGGTTGACGTTTCCCATGCTTTACACGGATAGGTGCTTGTATGAAATTAGCCTAAGGATGTTGTGTGCGCCCTATGAAAGCATGGTCCGTTTGTTTGGTTATCAAAACAGCGGAAGGTATCGCCAAACGGCACCCCGAGCCCTGGGGCCGGATAATGTCAAAAATGATCATTGAGTCAGACACTCTGGCCCGTTCTCTCCAAATCTCCGGAAACGGAAAAGCTTACTGAAGAGAGGAACACTTAGCTGTGAGGGTAAGGAGTGGCGGCGTGCTGCGCTGTGCGCTGCTATTCAAAGGGACCCTCCCACCTTCAAAAAAGTTAATGAATTGGCATGAAAGTGATGTCGCTCGGTTCAGAAAGACCGAAAACGAATATCTACCAAATTTCACCGAAAAATATTCACCGGTTTTCAAGATATTAGACTTTTACTTTTGTTTACTTTTTGGGATCTCCGCTGTTCCTAGCGGAAGCAATAGTTTGACAGCTGAAAGTGCGGCACTTGTTGCGCGCAAAGCAGCATAAACCACCGCGTGCTACAAAACGTTTTAGTCAAACATTTAAAAATCGTTAGATATCTGCGCTGACGTCACACATTCAGAGGGGTATTCCTATGCATTAGCCCCTCTGAATCAAAATGCTGCAATTTTGAAATTCAATATTTCCGATTTAAGGCATTTCTTGATGTTGTGAGTGCCGAAACCGGTAATTGTGAGCCAGGGACCCCATTTTGGCTATCTCAACTCAAATCTAATGTTAAGGTGGGAGGGTCCCTTTAATCGACATGTATGGCAATAGAAATCGCAATTGCAACGCCACCAAAAACTCAAGTAGGTACCTACTTTTGAAAGTGCAGGGACTCCAATAAGCACGGCGGTGTTGCAGATTTCTTGACATGAAAGTTTCGAGTCGCATGTGGTCACCGGCGGTCCGGCCACAGCGGGAGAAGCCCTATTAGCTTATCGGTTCAGAGTTAGGAATCCCCTACAGATGCCCATGGGCCACGACGACACACCAGTGACCAGACCCTGCGGCACAGGAACTTCTGTGACGCACTGACATCATAGACCAAAGCAAGGGACATCTGCCCTTGTCTTGGTGACATAAATGCTCCGTAATCAGTAGGTACTTACTTGCTGGATAGACTGCGGTAGGATAAGCTAACTTTCGGTATTTTGAAGCCGGCTCAGTGCCCCTTGCCCAATGCCCATATACTGACGTATATGTTATCTGTGTTTGCACTTATCCCGAAGCGTTTGTCGACCACTATTGATGTACAGCCCACCGCTAAAGTAATGTAGGGTTTTACCAATCTCAACGGTTGGCTTTGACTGGTGATTGTTTAATGCGGAGTGATCGAAAAGAAGAGGTCAATAGCTAAAGTTGCAGCTGCAAGGGTGACGATACATGTAAGTTACATTCAAAGTTTCATTGTAGTCTGGCTAATCGTTCCTAAGCCTTAGAAGCAGAACATACCCATGACTGAAATCCCACATTACTTCTGCTGTGGACTGTACCTACCTCAAACAGTGTGTGCAGACTGCAATCTGCAGGTGCATCGGTGATCTGTCATACTCTTAGGAATTCATTTCTGGTCGCTAACTATCATACGACTTGTCACTCATTTCTTTGCAATTAAGCAGCCAGGGCATATTTTAAGGATTTTTTACTGCGTCCCAAAGGTGGCATAGGGCACATGCTTCGATCGGAAAGGGCACATACCACATTGCAAGCGAAATGTGGTTGCGTAGGTGACAGCCATAGGAATAAAGAGACAAATTCGAGCATATCAGATGATGCACTTAAAATAGATAACTAGGCCGTTTCCGCTAAAATCAGAGCTGTCTTCCCACAGAGGGCCACTAAGGACCACGGCACAAAAATTTAACAGCGTCATCTCTTTGTAGCCAGCTCCGGCTGAAAAATCCCGCCGGTACGACAGCTCGCTGTCGTACCGGCGGGATTTTCGTACGACAGCTCGCTGTCGCTGTCGGGTTGTCACAGTTGGGTGTGGGAACCTTAGAGCTGCTGGCTCGAACCCTTTACAGGTCGACACTCGACAGGGGCTCTCAGAGACCGACAAGGGGCTCTTAAGAGGTCTGCGGTGCCTTCGGGAGCCCTGTGGAGTCCTTAGAGACCAGCAAGGTACACTCAGACGCCAGTGGGGCCCTCAGAGTCGTCGGTGTGGGGCCTAGTGATGTCAATTACGGAAAATCGGAATACCCCGAATACCGATACCAAACCAAATACCAACCAAAACCGTGGAGAAATACCGAAACCAAACCAACTTGGGAACATGAGGAAAATACCAACTTTTTACCGATTTCTTAGCCTCTTAAACATTAGCGAGGGTTCATGATACCAACAAAATGCCAAATACATTAGGATTGAAATACCAAATACCGAGTTGGTATCGGTTTGGTATCGGTATACCAAAAAGTTGGTATCCGATTGACATCTCTAGTGGGGCCCTCAAAAGTCACCGGTGACTGGCCGTCGGATGCGGCTCCGGCGTTGAGCCCCCAGAGCCGCCGATATATGGCCTTAAGAAGCACTGGTTTCGGGACCTCATTCAGGGGTGCCGGTTGCACTCAGAGGTGGCAGTGTTGGGCCCTCAGCTAGGCACCGGTGTGGGGCATTCACAGCCGCCGGTGAGGGCCCTCGCAGGCGCCGTTGTGGGGGCCTTCAACCATTGGTTTAGGGGGTCATCGCAGGCGTGTGTGGAACCCTTAGAGCTGCTGGTCCCTGATAGGCCGGTAAGGGCCCTCAGAGGCCGGCAAGTAGCTCTCAGAGGTCACCAATAGGCCCTGAGAAGCCGGCAAGGGCCCCTCAAAGGCCGACAAGGGACACTAACTAAGTTAAAAAGCCGGTGTGGGGCTCTTATGGAGAGAAGTGTGGCTCTTCGGAGCACATAAGGTGTTCTGCCGAGCCCTGTGGGGCCCTTCTGAGTCGAAAGATGCCAGCGTGGACCCTCAGCCGCCAATTGGCGTCGCAAGGCCCCTCTGGCCCGAGAGGCCCCCTGATCCGATGGGGGCACGTGCCCCCTGCTTCCCCTCCCCCGGGTGCAGATAGAGAATGCAATCGGCGGTGCGGAACACAACAATTGCAATCGTTCCTCCTCCCGTTGCGAGGTCGCCCATCGCCTGAAGAGTACCGGGGGATCATCATCATCATCATCATGATCCCCCGGTACTCTTCAGGCGATATGGGATGGCGGGGATGGCGCTCTCTGGGCCGGGAAGTCTGGACGGCGGCCGGTGTTGCGGGCCCCATCGAGCAGATGATCTCCCGCCGCCCCCCGCCGTGGATGGGCGCGGCTGGTGTCTCGCTGGCCCTAGATGTCGGCGAACTGCCGCTGGGCGCGTCGGCAGCGGACAGAAGACAGGCGGCGGAGAGGTGCCTGGGAGGCCTA